TACAGGGGAGGGAGGAGATCTGATCAGGTCCTTTTGAGTCCCATGAAAGGAAAAGTCCAGATTTTGGAGATGTGTTGGCTGTGTCAGCCATCTGGGAAATAGCCAGAAGGTGCCTCCCTCCTCAACCTTTTGGCCACTGGAGACATTCAACCTTCATCTTTGAGAAGTCTGGACCTTCTGCATCTGAAGTGGGGGGGGGAGGGGTTGCAAGTGCAAGGCATGAGTGGTCTCCCATGGTGTTGTGAACCACACACACACGTGAATTGAATTGAAAGTGGCACAACATGTAAAGATTCAGCGTGGATGAGAGCAAACATCCCCAAAAGCCACTTGGAGAGGTGGAAAAAATTAAGACGCTCCCTGAGCTTGGTTGTTTTCTCTCATTACCCAACTAGGTAACATCATCAGTGCTAGTGAGGAGTGATGTTTGCTCTCAGCTTATATTCTAGTGACTTGCCCTGCCAGTGCTAGTGATGGTGGATTATTTGGGTTGGGCCTTTTATTGTTTGGAAGTTCCTTGGTTGGGATATTGCTTAGTTCTTGATTGTTGATCTGACCCTGGAATTAATCTAGGATCTTCTGGGTCCTGATCGCTGGTGGAGAGGGGCTGGGGTCTTTTAGTTCCTTTTTGGGCTGGGGGATTGTCCTTTTTGCATAGTCTATAAATATTGTTAATGCCTATGTGTCTGTTGAGGGCTGATTTGTCGCCAGAGTGCCGGACTTCTAGAAATTCCCTGGTGTTTTCGGACTTGGCTTGGTCTAGGATGGTGACAGATTCCCAGTTGAGACCAAGCGTGTCCGTTTCTTGTGACAAGCCCCAAAAAAGCACCTCTAAGATGACCCCCACCAACACTGATAGGACAAACCACTAGAATATATAAACCAGGAGCAAATCCACTCCTTCCTAGCAACTGATGATGTTACCTAGTTGGATCATGGAACAAGAAAACCACCAAGCTCAGAGAGCTACAAAAAAAATCTCCTTTATGGGAAAGAATTACATGAGTGGCTATTCCCCCCCATTGCTCTCATCCTCAGCCATCACGGTTCCAGGCAGGAGAGGTCCAGCTCTGACCACGGAGGGGGGGGCACCCACCCCCTTGTCCCAGAGCCCAGCAGCTCCAGGCAGATGCCCAGGCAAAATGAAAAATGACAAGAGTTCTTCTGCACCTTTCAGCTTCATTTCAAAAGACCACAGTGGGGAGGGCTGGTCCAGGCCGCAGTACTAAACCCCACCAGCCAGGAATGAACCTGGACAGATTTAAGTGGGTTCCTGGGTTAGTTTCAAAGCCTCAGAGACTGTGGAGAGTTCAGACCAACCAGGCCAGTTGAAGAAGGCTGCCTAGGAGACGCCATGCACCACTTGGGATTTCCCGCAACGTGTGAACCAACTGGGAGGTGCCAGGCCTGGTGCTGCTGGGTGTCGGGATGCTCAAAGCCATTCCTCTGCCAAAGGCTGGCAGATCTTACGCCCTTTCAATGAAGGACACGTGGCGGCCTCCGGCTACATTGCAGATCACATTTTTATTTATTAATCTTATTTATTTTACATTTATTGGCTTCCCAACTGCTGTGCAGGTGAAGAGGGAGAGGTGGAAAAGCCCCCCAACCCCCACCCCCGACCCTGCAAAGTCACTTGGGAGTAGATCACTTCATCTTGTAAATGTTGCACAATGCAGACTCTCCAGCAAGGTAGCAAATCAAAAGCAGAGGGGATGGATTAGATGTCCTTCGGGAGCCCTCAGAAGAAACCGCCGTCAGCTGAGGGAGCCCCATAAGCCACAGGCCTGAATTTCATTTCTGTGCGCTTGTATGAATAGTTGTAGCCTTTCCCCATTCTCCAGTTGATGCCATCTGCAAAGGACTGGTGTTCTCCCAGCCAGTATTTCCCGTTGAGGTTGGAGTCATGGCAGTCATTGTACCACCAGGCCCCTTTGTATTTTTGGGCGCATTTATGGTTTTGGGGGTCCTGCTCCTTGTCTCGGGTGGAGAAGGGCATGTTGTGGTGCCTTGTTAGAGAGTCGCCTGGGGGGAGAAGAGAGGCAGGTGGGTTTCCAGGGCATCTCCAGGGCATCAGCCAGCCAGGGAGGACGGTCCTTGGCCGGACTGGCACTGCCCAGCCCAGAGAGACTCATGGAGAAGGACTTTTTTGGGGACTCACCTGCGGAGCCCCCCGTGAAGTTGCCCACAGTCAGCCGATACTGATCGGATTCCGCTGCTACCTGAAAGGATCCGAATTTGGCGAAGGAATGTTTATTTTCGAAATCCATGAAGTCAACACGCAACTCGTTCTCTCCTAGGAAGGAATTGGGGAATCAGGTCCACACCTGCAGAAACTCACGTGTGTGATTCACATAATGCACTGCTCAGACACCAAGACCCTCGTCCAGTGAGAAGGGTCGGGCAGCAGCTCTGCCCAGCAAGGACCCCGTGCCCCTCTCCCTTGGTAGCAGGGGGGCTCAGGGCCACGAGGGAGAAGCCTCTCACCCAGGGAGGTCAAGAGGTGAAGGTGGTCGTTCCCCAGCCAGAATTCGCTCAGCTCGCTTCCAAATCCCTTCTTGTAGTCATCCCAGTTCCGGAAAAAATCCACGGAGCCATCCGACCTCCTTTGGAAGACCTGCGGGTGACAGCCGGGCATCTTCCCCTCCCCATTGGGCAGGCTTTCTCTCCCCACACCCCTCCCTTCCCAAATGCTGGGAGTCCCCAGAGCTGTCACTCCCCACCCAGAAACGCTGTGGGCTGGACTCACGATCCATCCGCCTCCATCGGTGTGCATGTTGCACAGCACCCGCAGGGGCCGGCAGTCCTGGGGGTAGATGGTGTGCCAGCCGCTCAGGACCACCCCCTGGGCCAGAAGCTCCTTGCAGTTTCGGGCACCTGGGCAGAAAGAGAGGCAGGGGAGGGGGTGCTCCCTTCCCCAGGGGCTTGGCCCAACACCCACCCCCCTCTGATTCCTGTGGGGCCACAGCTGGTTTGCAACAGGATTCCAGCAAGTTGAGCCAGTCAAGTGGTTCAACCTTTGATTTAAAAATTACAGTTATTTTAGAGAAAACCCATTTTTGTGTTTCCCATTTTGGATCCAAGGCTGATTGTGGTCATAAGGGGATCCTGTGGACCCCGGAACTACCTGGCCAAGTCATTGGCTCTCCTGGATATTTTGGGAGGGGGGAAGAAAAGGAAGGGGTAGGGAGGAGCCCCCCCCCACTCACCTCGCTTGCACTGGAGAGCATCCAGCCCCTCCCCATCTGTGCAAAGGAAGGAAACAGCTCAGGAAGGGCAGGGAACTCCCACATCTGGGCAGGACGTCACTTGGGCCATTTCTGGAGGGCTGGGCCAACGTCTTCCCCTGCCACCATTCTTCCCATTGGGATTGAGGACCAATTCCCGCCCCATGGAGGAGAACTTCCCATGTGGCCAGGAGGGCCTGGAGTGGGGGACGCAGCCATGACTTGAGCTGAGGGGAAGGGAGCCTCCAGATGTTGTGTCTGCTCCATCACTGGAGCCTTTCAAGAAGAGATTATACAGTTATTTTGTCCGGAATGGCACGGGGGCCTCCTGGTGGGAGCAGGGGGTTGGACTAGAAGACCTCCAAGGTCCCTTCCAAGTCCCTTATCTTATAGTCTGTGTGTCTGATGAGCCACGGCCAGGAGTCCCTTTAGCTCCATGGAACTCGATTCGACCAGGGGCCCTTTTGGCTTTACTGGGAGGGGCCACGTTTCTTACCAATTTCTCCTTTGTCGCCTTTTTTCCCTGGAAGGCAAAGAGGGAGAGAAAGGCAGAATTCCCCCTCATTTGGGGGGTCCAGAGGCCTCACGGGGGTTCAAAGGGGGGAGCCAAAGAAGAACCTCAGAAAAAGGTGCTGGGGAAAATGGGGACCACCTCTCTCCCTAGCCCCCCAGGACACCCCCTCCCTTGAGCTACTCACCCAGGGGGCCTCATCGGTCATTTTCTGGGGAGGGGGGTTGTCCATTACTTTTGAAAAATATCTCAATGGTTCTGAATCTTGATCTTCAGAACCAAATGGCATCAATTGTGACTTGGACAAATGTTTGTGGGGGGGGGGGGGGCTCCAGGGTGAGAAAGAGGGACCCCTGAGAAGCAGAAGAAACTCTTACCTTTCTCTCCACGTTTTCCTGCCTCCCCTTTTTCTCCTGAGCGAAAGGAAGAGATTCCTCTGAGTCCCCCTGGCTCAACCTGCCTGGGGCCTCCCCTCCTTCACCCCAGGCAGTGCCCCAGATGCCGTCCCTCTGACCTCCCTGCCCATACAGGAGGCCAGCTGAGGCGGGAAGGTCTGGGGTGGGGTGGGGGTCTTGACCTTCTGACTGAGGCAGTCCAACCCCCCTTATTTTAGTGCCCCTTCTGTGGAGCTCCATTCCCCAAAGCGATCCTCTCTCTCCTACAGCTGCACAAGCACACACAAGCACACAAGCACACACACACACACACACACACACACATGCAACACTAGACTCAGAATCCCCCTGGTTCCCCCCTTACCTTTCGGCCCAGGGGGTCCAACTTCCCCAGGGATTCCCTGCAAGCCCCTTTCACCTGTCAAGGGAAGGCAGGGTGAGCTTCCAGATCTTCTTCCCAGGGGGGAAGCCCCCTGCCAGCCGCTCTCTTTTGTGCCCTTGTGTTAGATAGTTGTGCATCTGCCTATCCCCAAGGAAATGCCCACTTCCGGAGGGGCAGCTGTCACAGCTCAAGCGCCCAGCAGCTCCAGCCGCATTTGTTCCCGTCCCTGCTCTCTCCCTCCGCAGCACATTCCCTCCTGCTGGCGGGCAGGACGGGGGGCTTTCTTGGGGAGGCACCAGAGGCAGGAGCCACCTCCCTCCTCTCTCCGCAGACCCACCTTTGGCCCCAGGAAAGCCAGGGGGTCCCTGGGCCCCTGGAGAGCCAGGCATCCCTGCACATCCCCTCAGGATGGCCAGCTTGCTGCTGCCCTTCATCTCCACC